CCCTGGTTCCGCAAAAAAAAAAAAAAAAAAAAAAAAAAAAGAGAGAGAGAAACAGTATTAAAAACTCATGCTCAGCTCTCTTCTCTTGCTCGGTTGTTTTGCTGTCTTCAGCTGCCATGAACTGCTCTTCAGTGCCTGCCTGCCCTAGCACCGTGCCTTGGAGCCAGACAACTATGAACTGAAACCTTTACAAACTATGGGTTAAAACAAACTTTTCCTCCTCTAAAAAACAAAGCAAAACAAACCTCAGTCATAAGCAGAGACTCAGGGAAGTTATATAACCTACCGAAGGCCACATGTCCATAGGACTGTTGAATCTGAATCCAGCTATGCTTGAGTCATAGTAATGTCTTACTTTCAGCATTTTATCCTACCTTTAAAAGACAAAACGTAGCTGAGGAATATTTCATTGTATAAAACTACATCTTTTCCAGCCATTCCTCAGGTAATGGGCATTTTGGTTGTTTCCAAGACTTGGCTATGACAAGTCACGCCACTATAAACAAGGGTGCACATATATCAGCGTGGTAAGATGTTTTCAGTTCTTTTGGGAAAATCCCCAGAAGGAGAATAGCTGGGTTGAATGGGATTCCCAGTCCTAATGTTTTAGGTGTCTCCACACTGGTTTCCACAGTGACTGTACCAGTCTACAACCCACCAATAGTGGAGAAGGGTACCTTTTACCCATAACCTCTTTAGCATTTGTTATTAGTTGATTTCTTTATCATAGCCATTCTTTCTGGGGTGAGACAGTCTCTCAGTGTTGTGTTAGTTTGCATTTCTCAAATGACTAGTGATATGTTACATGGTTTTCATGTATTTATTTGCCATTTGTATTCTTTTTTTAAAAAAATGTATTTAGTACAGGGCTTAGAGGGTCTATAGGGTCTCACTATGTAGATGGGACTCGTAGTGATCCTCCTGTTTTCAGCCTCCCAAGCACTAGGGTTACAGGCATGCGCCATCACGCTCAGTCTCAACTACTGTCTCAGCATGCCCCAGGGGCGGGGCCGGCACAGCACTCCAGGGATAGAACCCTGGCAGCTGCGCTCTGCCTAAGCAGGCGTTTGGTCCACTGAGCTACGTGGCCAGCTCTCACATTTGTATTTCTTCCTCCGTGTGTATTCATCTTAGATGAATCCATTTTTGATTGCGTCTTTATATTTTGGGGGCCTGATTTTTCTTTTCAGTTCTTTATATAGTCTAGACAGAAGTCCTTTGTCTGAGTAACTGTTGGTTAAGATTTTTTCCCAATTTGTGGGTTGACTTTTCACCTTGTTGGTGATTTCTTTTGACATGCAGAAACTTCTCAAATGTGGTATTTTTATATAATGGAATATTACTCAGCTATAAAGAAAGACAAACTTGAGGACTTTATAGGTAAGTGGATGCAATACATCAGACCCACATGTGTAAATATCTTATTGTCTTCCTAGTGTAAGAACCTAAACAATAAATAAAACCCAAAAGGTATAACAGATATAGTAAAACAGAAACTGAATATAAGGATTAAACAATGAAGATAAGGGAAAGGAGAAAAGATAGGAAAAAAGAGGAAAAATCATGCAAATAATATATATCTATATTATATAATATAGATATATATTATATCAGCCATCATATATATATGATGGCTGAAAACAGGAGGATCACTATGAGTCCCATCTGCATAGTGAGCCAATTATCTCATATATATATGAATGATGGCTGAGATAATTGCACTAATAATTTCTATCGGTTTTTTGAAAATGGCAGTTAATGTTTAGAATTTTCACTTTGACCAAATCTGTCTGCTGATATCTGCAATCTAAGCAAGTACATCGAGGACAGCAATGTGTAACACAAAAACCATGGTTTACTATCTCTCATCTTGGTTTTCTAAATGTGCACCATTTACAATGTCTTATCAATTATTATTATACTCTCTTTAAAATAAATTGCAAAAAAAGTAAAAAAGACAAGAAAAACATTAAGGTTTATTGAAAGCAAGTGTTAATATTCGATTATTTGTCCAATCTTGCTTAACCGTATGTGTTAATCTGAGCAACAGATTTGATGATAAAAATATGTATCAGTCATTATTACTTTGATATGCTTGTTTTGAAAATCTGTAACATATGTATTGTTGTATGTTACCCTGCTTCTGTCTTTGTATCTGCTATTTGTCTCTGCTTTTGTTTTTACTCTTCAAAATAAAATAAATTAAAAATAAATGCATATTGAGATATAAAAAAAAAGACAAAATAAAAATACCCTGTATACTTGCTATATTTCAGCAAGAGGTTAGGGAGGGAAAAACCCCTTGCTCTCTTAAAATGTAACCTGCTTGGTGGGCATAGTGGTGCATCCTTGTAATTCCAGCACTCAGGAGGCTGAGGCAGGAAGACTGCTGTATGTTGGAGGCCAGCATAGGCTACATACTGAGTTCAAGATCAGCCTGAATTGCATAGTAAGATCCTGTCTCAAAAAAAGTTAGAATGAGGGCCAGCCAAATAGCTCAGCGGATTAAAGCACCTGCAATCAGGTGCAGAGGCCGGGAGTTCAATCCTCAGCCCTTCCATGCTAGCCCCGCCCCTTGGGGGCCTGCTGAGATGGCAATTGAGACTGAGCGTGGTGGCACGCACCTGTAATCCCAGCTCTTGGGAGGCTGTAAACAGGAGAATCACTATGAGTAGGACCTAGTAGTGAGACCCTGAACACTCTGTAGACCCTTCCCTAAAATACAGAAAAAAAAAAGTTAGAATGGAACTCACTGCTGAGTCAAAGATAGTCTTTTAGAACATCAGTATAATTTAATATAGTAGTTATACTATAATCTATTTTTTGTCTTTATTTGATGCAGAAATGTCTTAGCTGTGTAGTGGAATTTTCTGCTCTAACTGCCATAGCAAATATTAAACTACAGCTCTTTTAATTTTCTTAGAGATGCTACGAAGCACTTGCTTTCATTTGAGTTTAAATACATTTGATGTACCAAGAGAGTTAGGTGAATGAACGTGTTCTTTATTTTTTAGGTTTGATATTTCTATATACATTGTTAAAAATTTTATGAAGAAATGAAAATTTTATAATAAGAGAATAACAATAGTTAATACACTGTATGGTTATCTGCAAAGCAGTTACTCGGAGTTTACGAGTAAGACACAGAAAACAAATATTCTATCTTACAAAAAAGAAACTGACATTAGCACAAAACTGTCTTCTCAATGAACTAAGAGAAAGTGGTAGCATAAGTGAAAAAATTAGCATACATTTAAGTTTTTAGAAATGGAGTAGGCAATCTGGAGAATTATTTGAACTCTCCCTATTTCCTATTTAAGTCTTCTATTTTGCTCTTTATTTATAAACATATAGAGTTCCTGATAGGACAGAAATATTACAATGCTTACACTTGGCTATCTGATGTATCTCAGTTAACATTATGTTCTCCAGTTGTATGCATTTACCTACAAACACCTCAAATTTATCCTTCCTTATGGAAGAGTAGTAAAGAGTACATTTTCCTTATCCATTCACCTGTTGGTGGATATATGTACTGCTTCCAAGATCTAGGTATAATAAATTGTGCTACTACAAACACAGGTTTGCATGTATCACTTTAATATGATAACTTTAATTCTTTGGGGAAGATAATTGAATTTGGGAAAGCTGGGGCAGATGAAATTACTTTAGTTTTTTGAAGAATCCCCACACTGATATCCAAGGTGACTGTACCACTTTATGTTCCCATCAAAAATATAGAAGAATGTTTTCCCCACATCCTCACCAGCATTTGTTAATTTTTTTAAAAATGTATTTGGTACAGTGTCTCACTACAACTCGGGTTCATAGTGTTCCTCTGGTTTTCGGCCTCCCCAGTGCTGGGATTACAGGTGTGCACCACCACACCAGGTCTCAGTGGCTGGCTCAGCATGCCTGGGAGTGCAGCCGGCATGGCATGTGGAGTTGGGGATCAAACCCATCTCTGTGCTTGCCTAAGCAGGCATTTAGTCCACTATCTTCCTGGCCCTAGATTTTTTTTTTTTTTAAATAATAGCCCTGCTTTCTGGGATAAAATGACATTTCAGCATCGCATAAGTTGAATTTCTCTAATGGCCAACAATGTTGAGTATTTTTTCATATATTTATTGACTTGTTTTCTTCTGAGAAGTGTCTATGATTGTCCATTTTTTTATTGGGCCTTTTTATTTGGGGAAATTTTTTGAGATTTT